GTTATGATTTTCCCATGCTTATCTCATTCCATTTCCATTCCGAGCATTGCTATTGGACAGTACCTTTCTCTGAGTAGAACTTCCCATGGACGCTATCTTCTTCCCACACGTTATCTCCCTTGACTCACCTTCTACCAATGGGCGCCCTTGTATTTCTCATTTCTCTGAGTTACGTTCTCACAGGATAGCTTACGCGTCCCTTCTCATTGTTCTCTTCTTTGGGTATCAACCCCTATACCAGTTACTATATATACTGTAGGAAAACCCATGTATTCCTTAGTTCAACCTCCTGTTGAATACAGCGATTACCTGGACTCTTGACTTGACCGTTGGCATTGGCCCAGCTAGACCTACCTTTCAGTACGCTTACTGAGGTAGTGACGACATAACTGTTGGCACATTGCCCAGTTATCTCAAGACGACTAGTTAGGACATCGCTTCCTAACAACCTCATTATGCATAAGTAATAACAGATGCTCAGTCGGTGATAGAACGACTGTATTAGAATACTCTACCTAATAACACACGCTGCAATACATGTCAGCTAAGTATAGTACATCTACAGAGAGAAACATACCTCAGTCGGTGATAGAACGACTGAGGAAAACGAGCGGTGGGCATTCCCGGAACACGTCGGAACTAGGTATACTACAGGAATCCTACGCTATGCTACAGCGGTCCGAGTTCTATGAAACTGGAATGAATGTTCAATGTTAACACTCCCCCTCAATGAGAATCTGCCCCACGAACAAGTCCCAACATCTCCGTAAGCTTCTTTTGTTGTGGCCCCTTCAAACCCTTGGTCAAAATGTCGGCAACATTCTCTTCACTTGCAACATACTCCACCCTCATCTGCCCCACACGAACCGCCTCCCATATCCAATGCTCAGCAATCTTGATATGCTTGGTACGGTTGGAGATATCGTCAGGAGAATGGATCATGCAAAGAGAACTCCTACTGTCTGTTCGACAAAGAGTAGGACCAGAGGGAGGGAAACCAATCTCTGTCAGGAGTTGACATAGCCAGAGAACTTCCCGGCCCATGTGGACAGAGGCATAGTACTCCACTTCTCCAGTTGACAAGGCAGTAGTTGTCTGCTTGGCTGACCAAGCAATACAACCCTTCCCAAGGAAGATCGCGTAGCCAGAAGTAGACCGAGCATGATCCGGCGAGTTAGCAAAGTCAGCATCGCAGTAGGCAAGGAGCTGATCATCCAAGTCCTTGCCACCAATGGTAAGAGCCAAGTCCCGAGTGCCCTTGAGGTACGCAAGGATACGCTTAACAGCATTCCAGTGACGTCTGCCTGGATTTGACATGAACTGGGCAATGTTCTGGACAGCCTTAGCAATATCCGGACGAGTGAAGACAGCAATATGCATAAGAGAACCAACCACATTAAGGTATGGGATGTTCTTCATGAATTTGATGTCTTCAGGTGT